TATTCCAACATTCAAAATTCTTAGTTTAAGAGAGATTATAATTAACATAAAGCAGAATTTTTTTTGAATGCTGTGGTCATATGTCACATCTCCAGGAAATAGGATATACATGTCAGAAGTCTTAGATAAGCATTTAAAAACATGATCATTTAGATACATTTTCTTCATAAATTATTATGTAATATTTTCTACTTATTTAAAAATAGGTGATGGCTCGCCATAGCATTATATAGATTGCCTGAGTATGTTTAAGTGTGTGTTTGTAATATATACACCTATGTGAATCTTGGTAAAGTAAGAATAAAATCCCATTTATACTTAGGCCATTACCAAATATTATATGTGCATGCTCACCCATTCATTAGAAGTTTTCAATTTGATCTTATCTCATTCTTTTGTAATATATCTTTAAAATTTCAGATCCTATGTGGCAGTTTAGAAAGCGTTTGTTAAAAATGTATTGTGCACCACAACATAAAATATAGTATATTAAGAACAAAATATAAACTGGCAGATAACTATCCATCTACTTTCAGTTATTGGATATGTAGAAACAGCAAAAATGTGGAACATGCTTCCTTGTCTTTTAGACTTCAAACCCACCATGCTGAATGGATTTTTATAGGGCGTATACTTGTTCATGACCTCTACTGTTAAGAAATTCTGTCATGTTTGAAAACTAGTCCCTAGTGGAGCCCGTGTCCCTGTTAATAGCTGAAAGGTCAATGGAGCTGCTAAACAGTTTGTATTACTGTCAGGGTGGCCATGAAAACACCGCCTGCAGCAAGAGGACTTGGCAGCTGGGTCAACAGGCACTGTGGGGATTTATCAATCTAGGGGGGCCACCTGCATAAAACTTTGACTGATGAATTGGGAGTAGACTGGCTTATTGGGCTAAAGCCTCTCTATTATGCATGACTTTATTTAGGGTGGCAGAGCTGCCTGCCAGCTCCCTGAGACGTATGCAAAGGATAAACAGAACTGATTTCCTCTTAGGAAGTGATTTTTTTTGAAAACAGCAGTCTTCAGCATCCAGTATAATAAGAAGTTGGATGAATATATTAAGAAAAAAATAAACAAAGGGCAGTAAGGAGGGCCATGGCGGGGCGGGGAGAGGAGGAGGCATGATGAGCAGTTTTTGATATTGGTCACTCAGGAGTCTGGGGATACAACAGTTCTGTGAAATGACCTCCAAGCCTGGAATTTGCGTGGTTAATTTATAAGATATTAAGGGAATGGTCTGGGTGACTTGGTGGAGGAATAGATAAGCAGTACGTTAAACTATACTAAGACTGGGTGCATAGTAATTAAGTGAGTAAGAATGAGTTTGATTCACAAATTTCCAGATAAATAACCTGGAAATGTTTTAAAATAATAATTATTATAAAAAGGTCATTTGGTTTAAGTTCATCTGAAATAAAAATGAAAGAATTTTCATCCACAGTGTGGGAAAAATTTGTGTTCCATTAAAATAAAAGCTTGGAGGACCTATAACTGTTAGAATTCCATAATTTCTATCCCCCAGGAACGTTTGCTTGACTCTGAAGGGATTTAATGAAGAGCCAGCATCCAAGCCATGACTCAGACATTTGAAGACTAGGTAATAAGAGCACCTCTACCTTATTTTTGGAGCTACGACAACCTTAAAGGTTGAGAGATCACCTGAAAATAATTCTTCAATGCATGGAATGAACCCCAACAATACTGAAACATTTCATATGTTTAAAATGTATTATTTAATTATCTTCATAGTATTCTACAGACGGAGGCAGGGGCAGAATGATCATTTATACTTTACTGATGGGCAAGATTCAGAAACAAGACCAGTTGATTCCCTGTCCTACTAGGATAGACTCACTTCTAGTCCATCTGGTAGTTTGTTTCAGATGGCATTACTAAGTGAGACTTAATCATTGCCCAGCTCGGAGGTGCAATGTATTGAGATCTGTTTTCTGGAACTGCTGGCCAAAGCAGCGCCCCAAACTAGCACGAGCAGAAGCCCTAGTATGAGTATTGGAGCTAAGTCCCAGGTATTAGAGACTTTCTGGGACCCAGTAAGTTGGTCCATCCCATTGGGTGATTGATTCTGATTCAATCCTAACTCTCCTCTGCCATGAGAGGCGACCCTTCTCCCTCTGAAAGTATTCTTGAACTGTGTTCGATGTTCCAACCTGGAGGCAAAATTCATCCCTTTTCTGCTTTTTCTTTAAATAACTCCTGAGTTCTAGGTAAGCCTATTGGAAATCTGATTGTCCTCTTATTATCTTTTTTTTATTATAAATAATGACATTTGATTTTTATAACACATAATGGCATTATGATTGTTATCTTGCCATCCTTTTCTGAGAAAGATGCCTACTGTAAATGGTTTAAACATGTAAATGATTATGTAACATATATCTTCAGAACAAACTGTCCTTACAGACTGAAGTGGCAATGCTGGAACCACATCTACTTTTGGCAAAATGAGTTAAGAATATTGAATACGGTTTCTAAATTCCTTCATCTTTCTTATATGTGTGTGTAGGGAAAAACAGAAAAAACATAAATACTATTGTGGGTGAGAATGTAACTTCTTTGACATGTAATATGAGATATAAAAATTTTAGAATTTACTGTTATTCTCTTCCAGGGCCATGAAGAAATTGATGTTTGAAAGTTGTTCTGAAAAATATTAGTCTAACAAGTCTGGGGACCACTCCGCAAGAACACAATTAACCTGAGATTTTAACGTGAGTTAGATTTTGATACAACAAGAAATGTCTATGTATCAGTTTTTCAGTTGATGAAACTCTTTCTTTAAATTCTCCCTCAAAAGTTGTAGAAAAGCAGTTTTGCTCTGAAGCAAATGCCCTGAACTCTGCCAGGCCAGTAATTAGCTCACGTTTCCAAAATAACCCCGTTCACATACACGGAAGTGTCTGCTTCTACAGCACTTCAATTCGTCTAGGGAGAAATGCTGTAATAACAAACGTTGGCATCCAAATCGAAACAGCATGAGGCTCCCAACAAGCGTTTATGAAAACATTTGTTTTCCTATAGTCAGTTTAATTTTGGAATTTATGCCCAGGCCTGTGCACAAGGACGGTGTCTTTGGGCCGCTGCTCCTCCCCCCACCTTCTGAAAACCAAACACACATCTTAACCCTGGCCTCACACATGACACAACTCGCCAGGAACAGGCACCATAATGAGCAGTCAGGCCTTTCAGGTATGTCACTGTGAGACCACCCTACTAGAGGAGGTCCTAAGATCACAAAGCCAAGGCCCCGTACGGCAACCCTGGTAATTAGATACTAATAATGGACTGAAGGTGTAAAATTCACCTCCATGCACCCAACAGACTAAACAATCCAGATGAAGAGTGAGGTATTTTTCAAGGAGGAGGGAGAATTAATTATGATACTACCAGGAAGGTTGTAAAAGCATATTAATTTTGACAAACTTAATGGAATAACAATGACTATTTTAAAACTGATGGCATTGGATCTGAGTGAAATCCCCAGATCTCCTTTATGAGTCATTAGGATGCTGGTATTTTGTGAATTAACATTAACTTGATTTTTGTTCTTTATATTGCCAGCTGCAACCATCATCAAAGTGTCTGGTATTTTTTTTTCATTTGTTGCTTCTCCCAGAGGGCATTAGATTTACACTTAAGGAGGAAAGGAACCCCTACAGTGTACAGGTGGGTGCTTCCCTGAAGTGAAAGAAAACGTGTTCTGTCCAACAGGGAAGGAACGCCATCACTGGGTGATGGATGAATATATGCGATACTGTGGAGAGGCCATTCAGAACTGCTTATTCCTCTTTTTGTTCTGCAGCACCGGTGTCAACCTCTGTTTTTCTCAGGGGTGATGGTGTGTTGCGGTGTGGAAAAGGGGTAAGAATCTCCATTTTGTTCCTTGGTGACTTGTTTCAGAAAGACATACAGAATTTACAACTAACACGTACTATTTTTTTTTTTCTTGTCCCCAAGGTGCCAGGAGAGCCAGCCATCGTTGGTGACACGTACTATTTTTTAAATGGAACTAAATTAATGCTTTTAGTAAACTTTTCAGGTTATTAGAATTTAGTCTTCTGAAGGAGATTTGAAACTCAGGAATTTAAATGTGCACAGGGGCTCTTGAAGAGATGTTAGTACAGAAGAATATGAAATTCACAGCACGTGTAGCTAGGCTCTCTCAACTACTGGTGTTCAACAATTGTTGTTATCTGTGAGGATACTTAGATTCTGTAATAGTTGTTTCTACACTTATGACTAATATATGTTTGATAGTATATCATTTTAGTTGCTTCTGAAAGTTCTTATTTTATCCATGAAATGTACAAAAAATCATGATTCAAGATAATCTGAAAGTCATGTATATTGAAGTTGGGTGGGTGGAGAGAAGCAAGGATTAATATATTCTTTAAAGGATTAAAACATTCAAATCTTCCTCTTGCTGAGGTAAATAGCAAAACACTTCTTCAGTTTCATTTGTATAGTCACAGAAGCCTCCATGAGACCTATGAGCTTCCAGAGAGTTTTGAAATGAGACTCAGATGTCGAACTGCCGAAATAACTTATCTTGATTACCTAACAAAAAATCATACCAAGCAGCTGTGATGTCTGCCAGCATGCTTCTAGTTTTCTGGAAAGAAAAAGAGGGTTTATTGCCTCCAACATGAGAGCTGAAGCAACCACCTCACACACCAGGTTCCTCCTGCAGCATTTAGCTGGGGACGCTGATTCCAGAAATATGGCGCTGCTTTCTGAGAGCCGCAAGAACGACATGAATGTGTGGTGGCAGTAAAGTTGTTAAAGTTCAGTGGAGGCAGATTTTGCCTTCATAGACTAGAGCTGAGGGTCCTCTCAGGACAGCACTTAGCATATGGACAGGGCAGAAATGTTCACCTCTGTCAACTGCTAACTGCAGTTCATCCATCCCTAACTGGAATACACTAAAACAGTTTGGAAAAAAATATTACTTGAATTAAAGGAATATAAAAAGATCTCACCTTTTAGGATCTATAATTTTATAGAGTTTTCCATTGTGAGTCTGGGTCATACTTTTACTACTTGACAGAATGTAAACTTCACCTGTGAAAAGAGAAACACAGGAATTTAATTCACAGTATTACAAGGCCTTACTTCCTATTGCTTAAGCAGATATTTCATATAAATAGATATTTTATATTTATATACTTTATGTCTATCTATCTCATCTGTGTATTTGTATATATGTGTATATATGTAATTGTGTATGTGTATGTCTGTATTTATATCTGTCTATATATCTGCCTATAGCCTCAGGAAGATCACTTGTCTGAAGATCACGAAGGAGTTTCAGAAGTCTACCTTCACAGGGCATCCGGATTCTGGTCACTCTCTCCACATTCCACTACTATTCCAGGGCAAGCAGGTTTAATCTCTTCCCCAGACTATGGCAAGAGTCTCCTAACTGATCTCTGTTCTCCTGTCCTTCTTCTATATTTAATTTCAACATATCAGCCACACAGATTCCTTTAAAGTAGGTTAGATCATGTAAACTGGGTCACACACCTTCCAAGGGCTTCTAATCTCTTTCAGAGCAAAAGTGAGTCCTGAGCGTAGCCTGCAATGTCCCTTCTTATCGCTCTAGCCTCATGTGCAATGTTTTGCCCTCTTTTTCACTCCTCTTTAGCCTCACTAGCCTCTTGGCATGCTCTGGGCCCAGGCTGCTGTCACGGGTCCCCACTGGCTAGGGCTCCCCTTGTCTCACCATCTGTCCTAGCTCCTGTCAGAGGCTCCTGCCTTTCAGTAGATCTCCATTAGGTTGACCTTTCCCCCTCTTTCAAGTCTGTGCTTAAATATCATCTTTCCTGACTGTACTTTAAAACTGTATTTAAAACCATACTTTCCCCTACCCTAGCAATCTTTCTCTCTCTCCACAACTAGATTTTTCTCCAAAGCACTTATTACCAATTGACATACAGTATACTTAAAACAGTGATATTTATTTTTATTTATATACTTTAGGTCTATCTATCTCCTTTAGAATATAAATTTCATGGTTCTTTATTTGCTACTATATGCCCAACTTAGAGCTTTGCACAGAATAGGTGCTTAATAAATATTTGTAGAATGAGTATTGATGGGATGTTTTATCTTGGTTTATTCTGCCCAAGATTGAAAGATTTGGTTACAAAGTTGTTACTGTTATTTGATAATTTGAGGCCAGATGGAATTCTTTTTAATTTTTTAGTTTTAAAATAAAATGTATTAAAGTAAATATTTGGGAAGAGAGAAACCCTTATGCTCAATCCCAAGTCTACCTTTCTAATTTCTTGGTGTGAGGCTGTGTTACTGATGATGAAATACAATGTTTAAAAAAACCTGTTAGGAGAAAATCACTCTTGTTTATTACCACTATTTCCATATGATTCATTGCATAGAATGAATCCCATAAATAGGGAATTATAAGCTATATTTATGATCATGTATTTATAAGACTGTAATATATATGATTCTCACTCATGCAATAGTCTTTGATTTAGTCAATACTTTTCTATCCCACTGTGTTATTGTGTATTAAGCAGACCCTACTACTTTCTTACTTCTGAAGAGGATATTAAAAGGTTTATACTAAAAACACAGACACAACAGAAAAAGTAAAAATGAAGTTAAAAAGCAAAGGAATGTAAGTGAAAAAGCAAATACCTATTTTGTCAAGTACTTTACATAGTTTACCCCATTTAATCCTTATAACAAGCCCTCCTGATTTTATAAAAAGAACATAGTAAAAATGCAAAAACCTATTCATTTTCTTATATGGTTCTTAATTAAAGCCAAAGAGTCTCATATTAAAGTGTAATTCAGTGACAGCCTATTTATTTTTAATTATAAAGTACACCCGATGCTGTAGCTTTCGGTCAGTAAGCATCGTGTGCGCTTCATTAGCTGGTTCAGCTCCCAGCATGGTGTTGAATGTAGAGATATGTTTGGGTATGTTAACCAAATGTTGATGATGCTAATAGGGTGCATGATGGTAAGTCACTTGTAGTAAGATCTGGGGAAATCAACATGCTGTACTCCCAGCATCTGAATAGTCACCTCTAAATCTGCTCCAAATACTTCAGCCCTAAAGTACATTCTAGAATCAGTTTGCCAATGAAATTTACTTTACAGAGGATTTAAGTGGCAAAGAGCTTCCTTCTGGTTCCTTTGAGTGGGGCAGGAGCCACCAAGGGAAAATTAATCGTAAAATGCTTTCAATGCTGGAATAAGAAGAGGACAAGCTGGACTTCTTTGAATCATTATATTCCTGTGGTTCTGAATTGTGTGTTACGTGTTTCAGGAATCTTATCTAAGTCCTTTGTTAACCTTAGGTGAATGCCATGGAACTATTTCTGCTGAGTTCTCCATATGATGTAGGAAAACCAAATCTGGACTTTGAGAGACAACATTCTGATTAGATGGGAAATACGCCTCTTCTTTCTTAATATCTAGTAATTCATTTCTGAGGCAAAAGGAGCAAGAACCCATGGGTTATGTTAGGATATTGTTTTTTAGCATTTTTCGTCTTCAGCTGATCACATTCCAATTTCAACATCTTCTTGCTTGTTAAGCTGCATATATTTTGATAACATACCAACAAATATATGGTATCCTTTAGGTCATCAATGAAAAAATCATTCCTATTCTGTTGGAAAGCAGGTCTACAAACTCAAATCATCTCACACCAATTTCATGCCCTGATGGGCAAAAAATAAAAAATTAGGAAATAGAGGATTTAGTGAGCTCCAGATGGCAACAAATTTTTGAATTATTCCAAGAGACATGAATAAGTGGAAAGGTTTTCAGATACTGAATAGCAACAAATGATGCAAATACATTAAAAATATCAGAAGACATTTAAAATTTTCTCTCCTCAGGACTCAAAAATTTCTTTTGTTCCTGTTCCTACTTTCCTGCTTTGTTACTTTTATATTCTGGAGTGGAAATAAGACTTAAAGACTCCCAGAGAAAGGTTCCTGGAAGGGAATATGTAACTGGACCACTGCGAAACTCTACAGCAGGTCATCTTTGCTGTAAGGTTACACATGGAGGATGAGCCTGTTATCTTTATTCTTCAGGCAGAGCAAAGAGTCTTGGGTAAGGAAGTGAGACTAGGACTTAACAGAAATAGTTCGTACCGTACCTAACTCATCTTCTCCAAATCCCAAAACATGACCTGAAAAGTAACCTCTGCAGGACCCACTGTTCCCAAGACAGAGCGGTTTTTCTTGCCATTGCTTGCTCACAGGACTTTGCTGGAGAGTCAAGAAATTCCTACAACCAAAACACACCATAAACTTTCAGTGAAAACTTGCTTTGGCTTAAAGCAGAATAGAATAAAACTCACAATGAATCATTGTTGTGCCACAGACCTGGCTTCTTAGGGGGACAATGTGAATACTGTGAGATGCCCATGTGGAGAGAAAGTACTGAAAGATAATACTGTGTTTGGAGGGGCGCACTAAAAGTACCTGTGAATGACAAAAGCCCTCCCCTTCATCCAGAGAATGACACTTCCTCTCTAGGACTAGACTCCATGATGGGCTAGTAATCAGAGAGAAGGGCAGGGGGAAGATCGTGGGATCAGTACACTTTTGTGGCTCCTTTTCATGACCAAGCAGATCAGCTCTGCGATATGCCTGAATGCCAGCGACTTAAGGAAACATGATTCTTAATTTGGGTTTCATTAGAGTTTCTTACATTTATCCACAATGTGACCTCTAAAACTTAGGTGAAAATTTAATTTTGTAGTACTCCTACCAATAGAGACAAATTCTGTTGCCAAAAGTCCTGAGAGTCTGGCTAAAACAAAATTTCTTAGCCTTCCAAAATAATTTTAAAACTATGCAACTCACATAAAACAATCATTTTCAAATTACTCATTATCATGATAAATTTATGTTAAGGATGAAGGGAAGTGCCTACATAAAATGAAAAGTCCATCTGAAGACTTCTCTGCCCTTAAAAGCTATTTTATGAACTTGATCAAGTTTGTCTAAAAAGCCTTCTTGGGAAGTTTTTTAAAAATGAAACCACCATATATAGTGGAACTAAAAGGAAATAATATTTATGTGTGTCCCAGACCTGACCCCCAAAGGAATAAAATCAATGGGATATTTTGTAGTATGTTGCCCACTAATTAATGGATATGTTATTTGGTATATCAAATTGTGGTATCACAATTTGGAAACCTACCCATTACGGTCTCCAAATACATAGCTTCCATACAGTCTTTCAGACTGGCAGCCTCGATAAACAAATCCACCAACTAAAGGACCATTACTGAATGGCTTGAATTCTAAAAGTGATGGCTCACTTTCTGCAAAGAAAGAAACATAGGATTAGATCAAATGAAACATATTTTCATAAAGTAAAAGTAATGTAAGCCAAGCAACAGTTATTACAGTAATTTACTTTAAGTCTGAAACGTGCTCAATGATGCACAAGATGAATCCTTGCTATAGATATTTAGTGAAAATAATTTCTCCCTTTGCTGAAATAGTAAACATTTAAAGGGCTTCCATGTACAGCTTACTGAAATGGGAATGTTCTGCAAATGCTTACTTTTATTATAATTGCTAAGACATACCAAATTTTCAATGAAATTAGAATCTGGATATTTTGGATATCATAGTTATTTATGTGGAACCAAAGTACTTCAAAAAATAATAGTTAATTTTTTCCATATTGAATTCTTCATAGAAATGCTTCTGCATATATTTAGTAAGTTGAGCCAGATCTCTGCCAAGTCATATAAAATGTTTTAAAGTACATACATTAATGAAAATAAAATTATAATACATAAAAGGTCTTTAAAACCATATCTGTCATGCATTTAAAAACATTGTCACTTAGTCAAGTAATATTTTCATTTTAAATATTTTAATACTTTTGTTTTTGAAGTTGTGTGGTTAACAAAGTCTACTGCGGTCATTCCTTTTGGATTACATATGTACAGTCATGTATCTCAATCTTTCCATGCATGTCACTATACACTTGAATACACGGATGCTAACTGCAAAGGAAAAGATCGAAAGCCAGCTGCAAATTAATCTGAAAATTACTTATGACATACTTAATGTCAAATAGGAAGCTGTTAAAGGGCAGTATTTTAGGCAAAAGCTTTTGTGGAAAGATAGAAATTTTAAAGCCCTCCCCCTCCCCAGGTGTTGATGGTGAATATGAATATTCCAAAAAGTAGAAAAGGTAAGTTTTAAATGACTGGTACACAGAGAGGTAGCATAATTGACTGATTAAGGTTATGAACTCTGGAGTTAGACTGCCTGGGTCCAAATCCAGACCCTGCCATGTTGTTAACCTCTCTCTGTCTCAGTTTCCTTATCTGTACAATGTGGCCAATAATAGTGCCTATCACACAAGGTTCTGGCAATGAAGTGAGTACAGTTTCTGAAGTGCTGATTACAGGGGCCGGCATGTAGGAAGCACTGTGGATGTGTTGGGTTTTTCTCCCCCAGCTTTTCTGAGGTATAACTGACGCAAAATTGTAAGATATTTGAAGTTTACATCATGGTGATTTGCTATATGTATACTTATAAGAGGATTCTGTGGATGTGTTTTAATACATAAATGTAGGGCTGCCACTTTAATAGCCAGTTTCAGCCAAACCCCAATTAATGTGATTATAAATTCAGTTTAATCTACAAATTTAGCCAAAATTCCATCTAGCTGGTGACTCATTACATTTTTTTTTCAAACCACATTATTTTTTGGTTTGGCTTTTATAAGATGTACACACAAATACATGAATACCTGGGGGAAAAAAATGAAGTAAAATAACTGAATACCACATGAACTAACACAGCTGCTTCATTCCTGATGCTAAATAAATATCTGTATTGAATGAGTAAATAGGAGAAGCAATCAATTTAATAATCTTAATCTACCATGTTCCCTGACATAATATGATTTGATATATTGCTTTCTCCAAAAAAAGTAAATACTAAAACATTGAAAAACATTAAGTTTTTTGGACTTCATTATTATCCAACTTTATTTTTGTATATGCATTTCAAAATACTCTAGTAATCATGTTATTAAAAATAATGCCTTAACATCCCATTTCTAAGACTTAGGTAAATAAGTGTTTTTACAAGTCTATTATTTTGTTTTCTCTGAAATACACTTTTAAAAAATTGCATTCTTTCTTAAAACCCTTCTAATTTTCCTCATTGCTGAGGCTAGTATGTTGGTCACCGAAAAATTTCTTACCTTTGACACATTTTTTCCTCTGTATCTAGATGCTAACACAAGCTCTCTCTTATATATTAAATAAATAGAAGTTATTCATTTTGCTTCTCAGATGAGCAAAATATAAACTGCTAATTTCTGAAGGTCCATTAAAATTTTTGGACCCACAGAGCACCATTCAAGCCGTGGGAAAGGTAATTACCCAAATGGAACCCCTAGGGCTTGTAAGAGTCACTGGACCTTTAAAAAGTGAGCAATTTATTGCTTCACCACTGTTAGGGCAGTGTTTTTATGCTTTCTCAAATGCTCATTTTGCAGAAATCCTTTTCTTCAATTATGTACTAAAATAAAACAAAGCCCAAACTAAACCTAATCAGCAAATTACGCTCTACTTACCATAATCTTTCCCCTTTATAATCTGTAGGATTCTGGCTGATGATCTGTTCTTTCCATTGGAGTCTGAGCAAAGTATTGTTAAATTGACATTTATATCAGTGGGATGTCGGTCCACAGCACATCTGTACAACAAAAGAAGGGGACACCCATGAATTCCTCCCAGGGATCTTCCAAACTCAGACTGCATATTCCTGACATAGGAATCCCTTGTGGGCTGGCAAGGATCCTCTAGAAACCTCTGAAAGAAACATCTTGATGTGTCTGTTTACTCTGCTGAAGCTAAATGATCTCTGGAGAATATTTCTTAATTTCTCTTGGTATCTCCCGCCAGTGTGAATGTGCACACTGCCTTAAACCCTCTGTTAGTCTGCTGTTAAGGAAGATCATGTGTAATACACTGGCAATGTGTAAGAGTCAGTGCCATTATCAGCTCACATCTGCAACACACAACATAGAATTGGCTATAGTATTAGTTTTTGTTTCTTACATGGAATTTATATCCTAAAGCTCAGACTGCTCAAACAGAGTAAAGTGTGCACTCCAGTTTAGGGAATAAAATGAAGCTGGTCCCCACAACCATTGTGGTCTTTTACATCGGCACGGTCTTCATGTCACCCCTAATCTGGGGCCAAAATATTTCTGTGAGTTAAGCCACTGCCATGAACCCCAAGAGGAGAGGTACCACTTCCAGCTTCATTATCACTGTATTTCTGTTACCTAGTTCAAAGCCTGCCAGGAATATACACAGGGCTTGATATTTGTTGAATGTTTAAGTCAGTGAGGACTGGGCGTGAGGAACTTTGGGTTGGGAAGGAACGAAGTGGAACAATGCAATTTCTGAAGTTCTCACAGATGTGGAAAACAGTGTTGCATTGTTTTTAGGTTTCTCAGCCTTGGCCTTATTGACAATTGGGCCAGATAATTCTTTGGTGGGGGTTGGGGTGGTGGGGTGGTGGGGTGGCATGTGTGTGTGTGTGTGTGGAGGCGCTGTCCCGAGTACCGTAGGATACTGAGCACCATCTGGCCTCCATGCACTAGACGCCAGTAGCATGAATGCCTCTATCAAGCTGTGAAAACCAAAAAGGCTTCTAGACATCGTCCAATGTTCTGAAGACAAAATCATCACACTGGAATCACTGTTTCAGGCCAACAAAATACATTAGTAATTTAAAGCCATTAGGGTGTTAAACACATTAAAAAATTGCACAATCTGAGAATAGGTTCTGGGGCTGAAGAGACAGAAGAGTCATATGTAGTGATTATTTAAACAACAACAAAAGTGCAACAAAACCCGTAGCCTCCCAATGATCCCATTCATATGAGGGAAACTATAAGCCTGACCTACCAGGGATGGGTTAGCCGTTCTGTGGCAACAGTCCCTTTATTGTCCTCTTTCATTCAGTGAGTCACAGAATACAATGCCTGGCAGGGATCATGGCACAGACGTGCTAGGACTCCAGTTCTCACTCTGTATGGCACTAAATCCATACAGAGTGAGAAAGTTTTCCTGTATAGTCTTTTTTTTGAAGACGGAGCAACTATGACAAAAAAAAGGTTGGACCTGTGTCTACCAAGAAAGAGCAAGTCTGGAAGGAAAGGCCAGGTGTCCTGAAGGTGGGGGTGCTGGGGACCACCAAGTCTCGTTCTGGCTGAACACTAGGTCCACTGAGAACCACTTGACCCTTCTAACTTTTAGTTTTTATATATAAAAAAGTACAACTTCTCTGGGTGAAACTGTATGGTGGATACATGTGTCCCACCCACAGAATGTACAATACTAAATGAACCCTAATGTAAATTACGGAGTTTGGGTGGTCATGGCGTGCCCATGTAGGTTCACCAGTTGTAACAACGTACCACTCTGGTGAGGGGTGTTGATAAGAAGGCTGTGCATGTGTGGGGGCTGGAAATACATGGGAAATCTCTGTACTTCTGCTCAGTTTTCCTGTGAACTTAAAAGTGCTTTAAAAGCCTTAAAAAATTAGGCGGGGAGGTGGCTGATGGCAGCTGTCACAGAGCATGGTGAGAGGCATAAATGAGATAATGGGCACAAGATACGCAGTGCAGCACGTTGCACCAAGGGACTTAATAAAAATCAGCTTTATTTTTAGCCAATAATTATTTTAGTTTCCTTTCTGCTTTATTACATCTTCCTCTGCCTGAAATACTCATGCAGGGAGGTGGGGATTTTCTTCAGCCCTCCACCGCAGGAGGAGGTAAGACTCCACAGTGCGCAGGCATCCTGCCCTGTGTAAGGTCTGTGAAGCGCCTCACCCTGCGTTTCTGCGCTTTGGGTCCAGGACCCCGGGAGAGGTCGCTCGAGAGCTCCAGTGGGATTGCGGTGACTCAAGCTGCTCAACTTCAAAGTGCTATTTTGTGGCGGTATCTGTGAGTTCTGAGCTATAGGAATGGAATGTGACAGTTTAGTCCACATCCTGAGCCCACCTTAAGTATTCCCTGTCGCACAGATTTTAAGATCTGCTGAGATGCCAAAAAGGAAATGAGCTGTAGTCTTGGACTTTGATGGAGGGGAGATGAAGGGCATGAGGGATTATAAAAATAAAAAGTCTGAGAAATACTCACCTTGCACATAGTGAACACTCAATAAGCATTAAATTGCAATAATAACTTGGCTAGTAGATGAATGAATGTGGCCAAATATCCCTTAGTATGAATAACAGACCACAAGTTAGATAAAGCTTTCATCAGAGAATTGCTATATTATACTTCACAGCATATTTAGGTGTACCCCAAATTTCTCACTACATATTTCTTAGTGTTCCTTTCTGTACAGCTCATTATAGTGAACAGTCAACACAAATTCCTTTAGTATTTGTAATATTTTTCAAGTGAAAAAATGTTAACACGTAGTTCAGCTCCTTACAAATTGATACTGCATCATCATGTTAAGTGAAGTTAAACAAAGGTAACTTACGGAAAACCTACCAGGTGGGTCAGACACTCCATTTTGTGCTTTACCTATAGATTTGTATTTAATCATTACAGCATCCCTGCAAGGTAACTCTTTCCACCGCCATTTAATATGTAAGGAAATGATCATTTAGAGGGGTTTAAGGAGATAAAAGGTTTCTTATCTCTCTGAATTTGAACAATTAAAGACTTAATCATTACACTAGTGAAGAGTGTTTATCTAATAATAGCCCTCCAAAACTTTAAGGGAATTTTTCTCCATGAATTTGTCTTTTTCTGTTTCTAATCTGCCTTCTCAATCTGCTTCACACATTAACAGAAGGAAGAGTGCTTGGAAAATGAGCTGGTGTGATTTTAGAGGCACAACCTGGACACCACTCTTGGCTGCTCTGTGCCTGGACCCCTCTCTGTTAGCCCAGTTCCTGAATCCCCGCCTGGCTTGGGAGCAGAGAAGAGTACAGGATTGTGTTCTTACCTGCCTGGATCGTGGAGGCCGTGGGCGAACACTTCCGGGGGCTGATTGGTGCTGTTGAAGTGCGGGTTGCTCCTTGGTATGGAGTAAGGCACGTTGCACATATCCGTATCCACGTCCAGCCGGAGCACCGAACCTGTGAAATCACTGAGAAATTGCAGGATGATGTAAGTGTTTTGTTCCTGTTGTGTATTTCACCTAAACTAAATGTAGGTAGGTTGCTATGCCGATAAGGATATCATCCCCCATTTGAGACAAAATTATTTAAGTTGCAAATTCCACGTTGTGGGAGGTAAAACCACAGGGGCCAAAGACTACAGCGTCAGCAGGGTGCTACTTTTTGCCTCCAGCCTCTTTATTTTTTTGCCAATCCACAATCCAGGTACCCTATGACCCCCAAAAAGTTCCCCTGGGCAGTGTTAGTCTGTTACGCCAGTGCTGAAGGCAGCGTGGATGCGCAGGGTCTCTCAGGACATGTATACCATGCTCTACACAGCAGGAATTTGTTTTAGGGACTTTCAAAAATATCGAATCAGCATATTATTGAATCCCTCTTCATTCTATAATTACAGACACTGCTAACAAAGATTAGATATTTAACCAGGGTGATACAACTCAAAAGACAATTCTTAATTCACTGGCTCTGGCCCTTTTTCCTGGCACTTGAAACATGTTAACATCGAGGAACCTTTTTCTTTGCTGCTGTTATTTGTTTTACCTTAATCCATCCATTTCTTCCATATCATCCAGTGTGATCATCCCATCACCAAGAATGATGTACAAAAAGCCGTCAGCTCCAAAGAGCAGCTGTCCGCCCAGATGCTTTCTGTGGAGTTCTGCAACTTCAAGGAATATTCTGGCTGTTCTCAGATCGACTTGGTGTGGATTTTTTCTACATTGTGCAGAGGAAACAATACCATGATTGTTAAAGATGTAAGGTGAATCCACTAGAAAGTAAGTAGTGCACAAACAGGGAAGTAAATATGGAAACGTATACTTGGAGTGCAAAATTTTAAATCACTGAAAAATGACTTTATTTTCCACGTTTTGGATGTAGCTTTTAAGTTGAAAGATAAGGAAAAGTGCCAAAGTTATCATTTTTCTCAATTCTCCTTAAAGACACATAAGGGGTTTTAAGCAAAATGGAGATTACAGTTTAATTACTGCCACCTTAGGAATATTTATTTGTAACTTCTGAACAAGAACTTTTTAAGAGATAAAGAGAAAGTAAGATTGAAAAGTGCTTGCGCCTCTGTGCATACAGTGATACCTGGATACTGTGTATTCCACCACTCTGAGAATGTGGTCATGAGGCCCGATAGCCCACCGTTCTTGGTTGGTGGTATAAGACACATACAGCTTTCCATTTTTCTTGTAATTGGGATGGAATGCAAGGCTTAACAGTCCTCTTTCATCTCCCCCCTGCAGTCAAATGAAAAACACAAAGAATTGTGAAGTTAATTATGTTCTTTATTGTGTTTCGACTGGAACCCCAAAAGAGTCTCTTTCTTTCTTCTGGATAATCTTTGCCCAAACTCTTTTTTCTTCATTGCCTCCTGCACAAAAAAGGATTATAAAACATTTCACTTTGCAGGACTCTTTAAGGGCTAGAACAAGACAATTGTCTTGTGTGGTTATCTACGCACAAGACCCTTATGCTACTTTTGTCAAGTGATTTGTGTATGTAATCTTGGGATGCTAGGAAGGCAAGTTGAAGTGCTATGAAGAATTTTTTGCTGGGTTACTAGGTTGCTTATAGTTCACAGAAGACAAATAAAAAGGCTCATATTCATCAGTCACTTCTAATCCAAGTCTCCAAAACCTGAAACACAGTGTGGGCTGCCAACTCCCACTGTCTTGGCAATATGTTTAGAAAACAGTTAAATTGCTTATGTAATATGTAAACCTTTGTTTTACCCTCGAGGCATCTACATCAGTTGTCACAACCATGGTGGTCTGTTCATCACAGCTAGGTAATCAGCAGCCTTGGCCTATCTACACAGAAATGAGGTATTTTCACATGCATCCTTTCACTGGTCGAGATTTTCTTTACAGAAGGATGGAGAACTGGGAGGGGAGCTAAAAGCCAGGGCAGGATGGGGGTGGGAGAAAATACTGCAGAGGAAAAGGGACACTAGGAAATAAAAGAAAAATCCGAAACAACTTTCTTTTGTTATTATGTGAATGTCAAGGATTGTATACATTAGGCATGCCAAATGCTGTAACAATTAAAACACCATCATGTTTTTAAGTAGAAAGGCATTTTATCTTTATTTTCTGCTAATTCAGTTTGATGGAACTCAATATGGTCCTAGTATTTGTTTTATCCCACAGAGGTCTAGGAATTTCTATAATGAAATTAAAACACTTAAAACTATCTAGATCAGAGGCTTGAAGTTCATATTCTAGTAAGCAGTAAGCACTTTCTCTGTCTTCTGATGCGTTGTCCAAAATGGTGAAAAATGAGACATGGGAACTGAATGCCGCAGCTGCTGCTAAGGCATGCATCCCTTACACGTCCTCTTTCATTAAACGTCACATCTCCTACTGCAAAATGCTGCAAGTCACTCCTTCGAAGGGTTAGAGGGAAAAAAATCTCTAATCCTGCAGCTTCTTCACAGGGTTCACATAGGCTCAAGGATGGAAGCGCTCACGTGCTTTTGTCCCCCAGACTGGCATGTGTTACTTTCAAAGCATCAGGCTGTTTGCAGCTTACATTCTACATGGATTTTGGAATTTAACGTTTTAGGCATGAAAGTTCACTTCAAATAAACATTGTTTAATTTTTTTCCTGAATTAGAGAAAAACTGCTTTCAGATATATGCCATCCAAAGTGGAAACGTTTAGACTTTAATAGTGTATAGAGAATAAATACAGTGCAAATATCCCAAAACTGCCAAATCATTATTCAACTGTCAAAAGAGTCAACCTCTTCATTTGTATATCATGAATGCTTAATATTAATTTCAATCAGAAGAATAATCTCACTGAAGGGTAAGGCTCTCAGACTATGATTTATGAATGAGCCTCTGTTGTTCAGATGACCTTGTGACGATGATGTTCATATTGATCTGATGTTGCTGTTTTTCTTCTTCTATTTTCATTAAAGAAATATCTCTTTCCTTTCTTATAAGACATTGAAAGATGGGGTGTGTAACTAGGATCGATTATAGAAAAATCACTGCACATTTAAACCTCCTTGATGGGTGTACAAGGAGGACTAGGGGTGGGATTTAGCTTGTGATTAATTCCTCTTCTGAATATGTTTCCCTCTAAAGCTGTGAGTGCACAGTAAGTCCTGCATGCCCACTTCACGAATGTTTGTGTTCCACTATAAGAAGCTTTTTTTGAAAGCAGTTCTTTTGTATTTTTAATCAAATCATCTGAAATACAATTTGAGTTGGACAGCAACAGGAATTAGGAATGTGTAATCCATGCACTGCAGAAAGATGGGAAAAGGGATTTAAACAAATCCACAAGTGACATAAGGCCATCACTCACTTCAGAGATTCACCTATCCAATCAATCAATGTGGGAACACCATTGACATTTATTAAAGTGCCAAATATGGAAACAGAATAAGACATTGAATGATAAGAAAATAAAAGAGCAATTTAAAACATGCCAGTAACTGAATTTTTCAGGTTATTAGATTTTCAGTTGTTTAATCATTACATATGATTTCATATTTTTAAGTCAACTTCCAAGTGCAAAGTAATGTTCTGGTTGTTTTGGAAACATGGCTAATTACTCTTGTCATTTCATAGAAATACTTTCATAACTAAATTGATGAAAAAATTTGATTTGTCTCAGAATTAGCTCTTTAAGTTACATAGTATAACTTGACTCCTAAATGTTCAGATTGGTAAGGAGGAATATAATCCTTCTACCAGGAGATTAAAATATTGATGGACATACATTTAGCTGAAATTACTCCTCAGAGTTATTTTTTTGTTTATTTAAAGCATATTACTGACAAATCATGATTTACCTCTCAAATGCAGACCTATCTTTGAAGTCAGGGTCCTTTTTCAAGATCCACATGGAGAAGTATGTTATTGGACTTGGAAGGTTTACATTTGGACCAGGATCAGTTAGAGCCCCAATGCCAGAGTCCCCTGGGCCCTCCGTGACTGCTCCAACATAGTCTTCCCCAGGGCATTGCCTCAGTCTCAGAGCATGAGCGTGGGTGCCCAGAGGCAGGACTGGCCAGCAAAATCTCTCCCAGGCTCAGCAGAAAGCCCTCAAGCCAATGTCATGCTCTCTTCTAATTCCTTCCCATCCTTTCCCCCGTTTTGTGCAGCTTTATGGAATTTTATATATAGATAGATACATGCATGCCTCTCAGAATATGTCAAATTATTGAACTGTTTCTAGTGAGCATCTGAGGACAATGTGGCTACTGTTAATTTTTTTCTTCTTCTTCTTTAAACGGTCAGTCTCAAGAAATGCCAATTTGTGTATTTTAGGGAACAGAACTGGGCATCACTGAACTGGAAGCACCATTTCTCATGGTGGTATAGTTCTCTTAGTGACCCTTTGGGAATAATCTATAAAAAGACTCTGAGATATTCACAGAGCAATGGAAATGTAAAGTAAATGAACACAGTGCTAAATTCAAGATATTCCTTGTTACCACCTTGTCAAAAAAGTTCATATTGAACATTCATTCACAAATATTTATTGAATACCTACTATGTGTTAGGCATTGCCCATGGCATAGGGATAAGACAGTGGGTAACAACCAGTCCCTACCCTCCAGGAGTTGAAACATGGAAGCAAATAATGAAAATGTTTAGTTGTTTCATTCCCACTGTATTTCTTTACCATGCTGATATTTTTTTTGGTGTGGGGCTGGTGGTGAGTCGGGGAGGTTAGTGATACACTATTAGAAATGTGCATGGCCTGAAACACAAGTGTGAAAGAGAGTAAAGACATATTCTGGGTAACTGTTGACACAAAGGCTAATTAGTATACTAGCACCTGAGGTTTTTCCACTCTAAAATTTGATAAGGAAAAGAAAAAAAGCTTTGTTTATGAAAGCAAAATTACATGAAGAATTAGGCAGAGTTTCTGAAGAAAGACCATCTTTTAGTTTATTCTCTCTGTATAACAAAAGCACACAGGTATGAATGAAGACCCCTAGTTGAATGGTTTTTCACTCAAAAAATTAGATAGTTTCTAAGAATTACCATAATTCTTTATAAAATATGTACTTTTATTCTGAGGCAGCTCATCACATTTCCTTTATTACTTGTCATTATTCAGCCTACATTTTGCTGGCACCTATCCAGGAAAGGAGTAGAGGACTTGGAGACCAACATGGACCCCTATTTGTACAAACCTTTGCTTCTCTTAGACTAGAAACTCTTGCTGTCAGAAATGAGAAATAAGTTTCTTTGAGAACTGTTCAAATACAATACCAGGTGTATTCATTTTCTATTGCTGCTGTAAAAAATTACTACCAATTTAGTGGTTTGAAACAGTACAAATCTATTATTTTAAAATCTGTAGGTTATAACCCAACACGGTCTCACTGAGCTAAAATCAGTGTGTTGGTGGGGCTGTGTTCTTTTCTGGAGCCTCTGGGAGATAATCGTTCCCTCCACTTTCCAGCTTCTAGAAGCCCTCTGGCGTTCCTGGGCTGCGTCTTCCTTCCTCCGACTTCAAGGCCACTAACAGGGGCTTGGCTGCTTCTCACAGTGCATCACTCTGACCTCCTCTGCTCCCCCCGTCCCTTTTAAGGATTTGTGATGATATTGAGCCCACCCAGATAATCCAGGATAATCTCCCAGGGCACCTTTTCACAATCTTAATTGCACTGTAACCTTAATTCCCCTTTGCTAGGTAAAAAAACATATTCCCAGGTTTGGGACATTAGGATGAGGAGGACATCTTTTGGGTGGGCGGGGGGGGGGG